ACAACGTTTCACTTACTTATCACATGGGCAAGAGCTGTCTTCTTCTATGAAAACAGCGTTTTGCCGTTTGCGGCGCGTTTGCCCTTGTTGGCCACCATATTTATCTGATGGCCAGAATTGGTTTTAGATTGTTTGGTCGACATGTCTTAGATTACAGATACACTAAACTTAAGTTTGGTGAAGTAGTACGTTTGCTTTTAAGTCAGGATAATTAAATTTAGCCGATTCCTACAGAGAGATCGAAAATGCGACCGCTCAGCTCCACGCCATAGCCACTCCCCCGTCAAACGTCATTTTCAGTTACATTCAATCATTTACAGAAGTTTACTGTATAAATCGTTATTTGTCATTAGGTTTTCTGGAGTGGACTGTGTAGTGTCATAGTAATTACTTTGATTTAATTTAATTATGGGTTCATACTTTTTAGGTGAATTGACAAAAGCAGTGAGAGTAAAAATCTACTCAACAACTATGCAGGAAAGTATTGAGTCTGTTTATTATCCTAATCAGTGTATTCAGGGTCAAACATTATAGTATATAATTAATGTAACATTAGCTACAACACTTGGGGGAACATTAAGTTCCATTGCATACTGGATGGTAGTCATCTCCATTCCTTTATAGTCCATGTTGATGCACATTCTTTCTTTCTTTCTATTTACACATACAATAATGCAATTAAAGGCCTTTTGAGTAATCATGATAAAAGTATTTATAAACATATTGTTCAAAAACTCAAGCCATTTTTTCACAGATCCATTTCAAAGTGTCATCACACCGCCGATCATTCCAGTTTTCTTCAGTTTCCTTGCCAGCTATTAGAATTGCACAGTCCTCTTCCCCCCACTGTGGATCTCCACCACCACTGTCAGGCTGCCCTCTCACCCAGTACCTAGGAGGTTAATGAGCAGGTGAATTTTTAACAGCATTTCCCACTTCCCAAAAAATAAATGATTGCAGGTTTAACATATTCCAGTGTATTAATTTGTGGAGAGAAAACAATACTTTTGTCTCCACCCACTGAAGTCAACTAGTGAGTTTTTTCTGCATGTAGAGCAGCTACTTTAACGTGAAAGGTTTAAAATTAAGTTTAGTCAGACTCTGATAACAATTATTGATACATTCGTACACAAACAAATGTAGTAATGTACAGCGAGAGTTGTGCCTATATTCAAATAAGGTGTAGAACATTTACTGTATGCCTTACGCCAGAGTCAGTGGAGTTTCATCAGTCCATTTCCAGGTGCCCTCATTGTCTCTGTCAGTCAGACCAATCCAGGTGTCCTTCCTGATGTTTTTAGTGAGGAATTCCTGTTCAAGGTAAAGGAAAGAAATCCCTTCTTTTAGTTTGAACCTTATTATATATATAATTTACATTGATTAATTTCAATAAGATCCACTAACATTCACTAACACTATCTATGTCTACATCTGCATCATCAATACAGCTTGAAATGCACATAAATGTTAATTTAACACCTGTGTAGATGAGGCAAACTTCAATCTGAAGGAGGGGAAAGAATCAGATTTTCCAGACTGATATCTGCTCTCTTTTTATTCCAAGATTCAATGGATTCATCCATAGAAGTGAGGAAATGACATTGCTCCTATTCAAATCAACCCAACTCTGATTACAGATCATAAGAATATAAAATATATTCCAATAAAAAAGTATGATGAAGAGGAGAAAACATAGTCAGTGGTGGGAGAATTATCTTTTACTTTAGTATAAACAGCAATACCATAGTGTTGAATTAAGTATTAATATGTATGCATGTGGTTAGCAAGGTGGGGCTAATTTGTAAGGTCCAGTGTGTAACATTTAGGAGGATCTTTTGGCAAAAATGGAATATAATATTCATAGGTATGTTTTCATTGGTCTATGGTCAAATGAATATAAGAACTCTATATATATATATATATATATATAAGCCTTTTATATCTACAGATGCAGCGGGCCGCCTTCCATGGAGACCACCATGTTTAACTGCCATGTTTCTACAGTAACCCAGGAGGGACATACCAAACACTGGCTCTAGATAGAGGCATTCATGTTTTTCACAGCCACCATAGTTTCTCGTTCACGCTTAGAATGGGAGGGTGAAGCGAGGAAGTTGGATCTGCAGTTATACTGCTAGATGCCACTAAATCCTACACACTGGACCTTTAATGACCATCATGATGATGATATATACTGCTGGATTTTTTAATCTGCTGGAGTATATACTGTATATAGAGTCACCTAAAATGCAAATACTCAAGTACAAGAACCTCACAATTGTACCTAAGTACAGTACTTGAGTAAATGGTCTGCTGGATCTAAAAGGAAAAACTGCACACTACCTGTTCTTCAGAACTGTCTATGATCACCAGATCTGCTCCTCTGTCTCTGCAGTCTCGTCTGCCTTCTTCCCAAGAATGAGAATTAGTGGAGAAAAGATAACAGGTACAACTGAACATCTTCCATCCCACAGGGCAAGTTTTCTCTGTTAAACGAACCAAACAAAATACAGTAAAGATCAGAAAAGACCCATGTTCTTCTATTTGAGAGGGTGAGTTAAATACATGTTCTGTGGATGAGAATGTTTGTGTACACAGACATTTATGATACACTGAACAATGAATAAAAACAGGCCTTAACCAGAATGTAACAAGATAACTATTAGAGCTTTATTAAAATGTCCCTTTGTTCCAAGTGCAGTTAATGTGCTTAATAGTGTGAACCTGATGTCACCAATTGGTTTCTGGAGTGCTGTTTTGAAGGATGTTTCTGAAACTATTTTTAGTGAGAAATACATAATTATTTCATTATATTCATCAGCACTGCCTAGTTTTACAGTTTAATCTGAGTTTGGTGTGTTGAGCTGGACAGACTCACTGAGAATGACCTGTCAATCACAAGGCAGCCACACTCTAAAGCGTACCCTGCTTTAATGTCTGTTAAACCATAATTTATTAAATGAATATCATTTTGCATTAAGAGGACATGAAACCAGCGACTGAGACCATAAATTAATTAAGAAACTGTTTACTGAGCTAATAAATCAAATGAGAAGATTTCTCCATTAGACTCCCTAATACTGGACTCTTTTGCAACTCGTGGAGCTGCCCCCTGCTGGCCATTACATAGAATGCAGGATACTTTGGGTTGGCTTCAAGTCACAGGCCTGAAAGCTCTGCCCGTTATATATACTGTCAATGCACTGAACATCGACTTCTCAGCAGCACTTCTCATGGCTACCATTATTATAGTTGTACATTATAATAGTACTTTTAATGAACTGATACATCTTTTTTTATTTGGTTGTTTGCTTGTCCCATGTCCTCTTGTATGCTGTGTCTACTATGAATCAAATTTACCCTTGACGTACAATAAAGATCTAAACTGGACACAGATGACAGATGTTCTAAGTATTGTCGCAAGCAAAAATAGTGAAGCATATAAAGATGATGCATTATTATTTGGAAAGATCACAGTCTTATAAGGAAGTGAAACTCCTTCAAGTGGCACACAGAGACAGTGGCCACATTTAAAACATTTGAAAACTCTGGGGTTGAACAAACACACCAAACCGACGCCAACTGGAGCGTACGTTCTGCGCGTGCGCAAGGCGTAATACGTCCCCATAACAGCAGGCGGCGCTAATCTGTGTTGTCGCCCAAAAAAAAATTAAAACCGGAAATGAC